TGTGTGTCAGTGTCCAGCTGAAATTTTCTGCCTTTGCTTTCCTCTGTAATTCATGCTGTAGAAACATAATGTAGTACAAAAATGCCTCTGCTAATTATGTGCTTTTCCCCATTGATTTGATTTGACATAACTATGTTTATATACCTCTATATATAATATATAAAACATTTACAGCAACATGAGCATCCTAATTTTTCCAAAATTGAGAAGGTGAAAAGGAGGCTTCAGTGCAATATAAACAATGGACATAAGCTTCAAATTCCTAAACACAGAAGGCATAGAAATGTGTACACATTGCAAGTCATTAGTTCAAGCCCACCAAACGTTTCCTGAGACAATTACCTTCGCTGCTATAAAATTTGCTTTGCATAGTCCTCTGGAGCGTTACTAATTGCTTTTCTTAACCTCCAGAGATTAAAGGATTTTGAAATGAACATATAGACAAGTGGTGACTTTAATTTCAAATCTGAGCTTTATTAAGGCAAGCCCTGTTTTATTAAATAGGGTCATTAAGAGAATGTTTCATGTTGGAAATAGCCAATCCTAATCTCCTCATCTTCCTCCAGTCTTGAGAAATTGCATTCTCCTTGTATCTTAAAAATGAGATGCCACCTCAAATCATTTCCATCTGGCATCAGCTCTGTGTCTCATCTTCAGGAGTGCAGAGAGCCATGTTGGCACTTGTCTCTGAGATCCTTTTCCACTAGGGGGTATGATAGACTGTAAGTGCATCTCTTGGTGAATGCACGGTGAGATCTTGCAGCGCTGGAGGACGCGCACACGAGGGAGAGGAACAGGCATGCAAAGCCTGGCACATAATTTATGGAGATTTAAATCCTGTCATTCATAAATATAATTATAACCCACGGCTTGAAAGTGATATGGACCTTGCCATATTGATCACGCTCCAGCTCTGTTTATTCACATCATTCATTTGTTGACAGGAAAAATATAAGAAGAATGCTGTTAGTTGTAAAACAATTAACAAAAGGAAATATTTCTATTTTACACAAAGAATATTCTTTGTTTCTGTGTGTGCTGTGCACTCCCCCACCTTCAGATAGGAAATATAAACCCAAGGGGAGGGGATTTTATTAAATCAGCAATCAACCTTCAAGTCATTTTGGTATAAACACTGTAATTATTTCATCTCTAGTAAACAGAATAAAAGACAACAGCACATAAGGGTGACAATTTGCAATATGCTTAGAATGTCTTTGTTAAAAAAACCCTTATTATGACTGAAGGCAACATTATTGTAAGTAAAAAAAAAGGCAAAAGTTGTGACAGCCAACAGGGTGGGTAATTAGTTGGTAAAGTTCAAATAATAAATTTAGCAGGTTATTGCAACAGGCATTACATTTTCTGCGGGGCAAAGTCACTATTTATTATCCTTGAAGCCAGAACTTCTTACCTTTATTAAAAAAAAAAATGTAAGAAAGTATAAGGAAAAAGTGTTAAGTGCAATTACATTGTATAGTCCAGATACCTTCTAAAATTCACAATCTTCACTTACTAGAGTATAAGTTCATTTGTGTCAGAAAAGCATTACTACAGATTTACCTGGGGGTGATTGTAGTAGCATGCAGCTCAGGGGGGGATAGACAAAACCTCCTGTCTGACATTTTTAACCCCAGTTGCAGCAGACGTCAGATGTGGGTGAGGTTTCAGCCTGGTCAATGGTTTCTGTGTGACTTTTCTCCTGCCCAGCTGGGTGAGGGCTGGCTGGGGTAGGGTACCAGCAGGAGTGATGCCTCTGCTCCCCCAGCACCTCCCTGGTCTGTGGGAATGGTTTGCTTGCAATTCATCAGCTTATAACCAAATGTGTGCACTTCAGTGAGCCTCTGTATTTAGAGCAGTTTCAAGACAATTGCCATTAATGTTAGCCAGGTTTCAGAGGGTCTGACACAATCTCATCTACCCAACTCAAATTTCCTATCAGAGGTGCATTTTATACATCTTGAAACCTTTTTTCAGGCTGGTTGACCTCTTGTTAAAAAGTCTCTTAAAAATATTTTGCAGTCATATAATTACTGGTTTTGTTTAAATGTTCTCATCCAACACATAATGAACAGTGAGGAATTCCCTAAAGGGCATCTTTTGTTATTGAAATGTTTATTTATTGAGTGCTTTTGCCAGAAGCCCCCATGAGAAAAATCTCATTTTATGAGCTCCTGAAGCAGTCAGTTCCCAAAACATCAAGCAGAAATGCAATTTTGACCAAGTAATCTCAAGGTCTTTTGTTTGCTTTTAAATAAACAGAATGCCAATGTGCAAAAAGTTGTGACAAAAGCTGCTTTGTTTTTTTGTATTTTGCAAATATTCCTAGTGAAGCCATGCTGATCTGGTGCTCAGGTGATTTCTAACATACAAGAATTCAATTGCTACAGTAGAGGAAACAATGTCCCACAGAGCATCATATGAGTGGGTGTTTCAAATGATTCTGAGATTTATTCTTTCCTGCAGAAGAATGGTCTTAACTCAGTGGCATCCCACTTGCATGAGAAATTATTTTCCTTGCTCTGTTTTTGTTCTTGATTTCCTTGAGCAGTGAGGAAGGAACTACAGTCCTTGTGGCAGCACTGATGTGGGCATGACTCAGATCTTCCCGTGTTCCTGGGTTATCCAGGTGGAGTCAGTAGAGAATAGTGGGGTGGTTGCTGACAGGCTTCACTCCTTGGAAATCCTTGTCTCTCACTGCCTGGGCTGGGTCACTGAAATGATCCAGTTCTAATCTGTGATTTTACTGATGCCAGGAGGTGCAAGGCTGCTGGGAGTGGGGCAGGGCAGCACAAGTGGGAGGAAGTGGGGAGTGGCTGAGAGGGAAAAGTAAAACATCCCAGTAAGGGAAAGAGGGCAGGAAAATTTTTGTGTTTGCTGATAGAGCTGACGTATAACTACATTATGGTTTAATTTTTGTGTTGGTTCTAGGTTTTCAGCTATAATGGACCATGCAGTGCAGATTTGGGGGGAATATCTGAAATTGGTTTTTCTTTCCCTCCTATCTTGGTGATGCAAGAGCTGCATACTGGGGTGATGCTGTTTTTATTTAAAGCAGACTGCTACTGGCACTGTAAATATCTGAGCACCTGAGAGGAATCAGCATTTCTCTTAGGCTGGCAGAACAGAAAGAAGGACAGTGCAAGATTACTTAGAGTCAGTGTTTGATATCCTAAAACAGGTGCATTTTACGGTTGATTATCTCAGGGTTAATGACAGAACAGTCTGGATTTTTGTACAGCAGTTATCTCAAATAAAAAGTACTTTGCAATTGTTGAGTATTTTCATCTATAATATTAATATGATGTTGACAAATGTTTTATACTTGCCTGGCATTATTAAAAGTGTTTCTTGACCATTAGTGACCAGGCTTTTAGAGTATCCTTTTACAATAAAGTCTGTTTTCTTTTTCTCCCCTTCCCCCAAGAGTACTTCAGGAAAAATGATTGATTAATGGTAGTCGCTGTTAACTCCAGAATAAAATGTGTGCAGTGCATGCTTTGCTAGTAAAAGATGAAAGGATATTTCATATTCTTATTCTTCCTCTGATTCCCTTTGTAACCTCAAAGCAAAGTCTTACATTTAAGAAAGAGTTTTTACTATGTGAAATGGAAAAAGTTTAAAGGTATTTCTGTCTAGCATATATGTGATCCAATTAAGCACACTTCATTAAGTGCTCTCCATTCTATGATTGTAGAAGATGAACATGTCACTAAAAGAATAACTTAATACTTTATTTCAAGCCCTGCAACAAAATATTTTTCAATTTATTTCTTTTATGCAAAATTTTTTTGGATTTCATTCTCTCCTAAGGCACTGCCATAGGAAGTCAAAAGCTATTACATGTACAGTTCTAGCCCATGCACTTCACCTTTTAAGTAGGGTTGCTCTTCACAGTATAAATATAATTCTTTTCTCTGATAATATGACTTTAAAAAACCTTAGGAACTTGCATAATACATATTATGTAGGTAAATTTTATAAAATAGTGCCAATTTTTGGGGTTTTTTCGGACCCTATGTTCTTCTCTTCTGTAAATGCTTGCATTATAATTGGTATAGTCTCTTGTTCCCCAGAAATTTTTCTTCAATAATACATTCACTATATTTTTATGTGTATTTTTGTTATGTGTTTTGTAGCTAAGTATTTAAGTATAGTTTTAAGGACATGGACCTTGAATTTCTTCTTTCCTTTCATCAGATGTACATGTGGGATGTTTATTGGGATGGGTGGAGAATGAATGCAACATTACAAATATAGATTTATTTTTCCTTAAAATTACACAGTGATATTTCTCGGTGAAGCCCTGAGTACGTTGCCATTCTACATCTGCCTAATTCCTTCCTCTGTAAACATCTTATAGATTTTAGTGCCATAAAGGATCATCAGGCTACATGCAGAAAGGTCTTCAGAAGAGTCAAATAATTTCCTCTCAAAAGTTGTTATCCCCTCTGTTGTTAAATGATAAATACTTTGTGGTATTTTTCTGGTCAAAACCAGCTATTGGGTCAGATATGTCCAGAATCCCTTCTCCACACATATTCTTGCAGAATATGATTAAGATAAATATTCAGAGTTTTTATATTGTCCCTCTGACTTGCAGTTGTGACAACAGGAACTGAAGTTGTGTTGATATTGGGAATATAAATGTGAAGGTACATGTAATCTTCTTTGGATGCTGAATTCCAGTGATGAGCTATGCTGTACTTCACTGAATAGCAATTTCAGTGCCTCCATTTTTCCATCTTCATAATAAGAACAGTATTTACAGAAGTGTTCTGAAGTTTAGTTAATGTCATTGAAATTCTTTCAGATGGGCACAAAACACACACAGGAAACCACAAGAGGTATAAAAATGTATGCAAATGTAGCTAATGAAGCAAAAGGAAGAGGGCTAAATGGTGTCTTAATAGGTTCTCTTTAAAAACCTATTTTGATAAGGGATATTATGCCATGTCTCTTGATTATGAATCTTACATTTTTTTAATAATCTCTTTCAGCGTGCTGGGACCAGCTGTGACCTTCCGAGTGCGCTCAAACCTCCAAAATATTTCAACTGCAGATGTTGCCAAAGAAGCAGGTAAGTCCCTGTCCTCCTTTCCCAGACTGTGACCTCCCACATGTCTGTTTAGCAGTCAGTACCACTGCAAACAGCGCAGACACATCCTGTTCTCCCAGAAGACTGACATTTAAAGGGGGAGAGTGTTGAGAGGTGAGTGGCATGTGAAAAATTGAAGTTTAACATCTTTAAGTCCATTAAAACTGTTTGAGACTTCCTTGTTTGTCAAGAAAACTAAATAGAGGCTTGTCATGAAGTTCCAGTGTGGTGAAAAACGCTTCAGTGTTGTCAAAACCTCATAAAAACACATTAGTCATTTGTAAAAGATGATCACTTTTCTCATACTTTTTTTCAGAGAACAAAAATGTTATTACACCTTAGCCTTAATTTCTGGAACAAAAAATGATAAGATATGCCTTTTTTTGTTGTGCTGTTTCAACTATTTCAATGACAAGTTAGTCTTGGAAGTAAAGATTGCATTTCTAGAATTAAGCTGCTCCTGAGTAAGTACCAGTGTTCTAAGGACTACTGTTGGCTCCTTTTCAGCTTGGCTGTTAACTGTAGTATGGAGTTGTTGACTAAAAAAAACCAATTTTTGCAAGGTATCTGAATTTATGACTGTTTTGTTTCCAAATGACTCAATTGATAGACTTTAAATAATCAGAAGTAAACAAGGTGCAATATTGCTTGAAAACAGAAACAAGAAAAGTTCATGTAAATAAACACTGGGAGTTCCAATCTGTTTATTAACTTCTACTTTTGCTTCACCATGGATGAATGTAGTTACAGAAAAAACTGGGGTAGCCCCCAGGCCAGAATTTTCCTTTGCAGAACCCTTTGCATTGGAGAAGGGTCTTGTTAACTTGTGATTAAAGAGTAGCAGGGTCAAAAAACCGTTGTTGTGTAGTGTCAGAACTACCAATTTACAATAAGCACTGAATTATGTGACTCGTGAATGGGTATGATTGTTTTTTTTTCCTGGGAAAAATTAATATGGTTTTTTCATAACGATCTTCCCTGTCTTGTAAACTTCTTGAATCTCTCTGAAAGGACCAACAAATACGATGATGTTGGTAGAGCCTGCTGGATTGCCAGAGGCTTTTGGCAAGATCTTCCCAGAAGTTTCTATGGAAATGAATTGTTTCTTAGAATATGGAATATGGAACAGAAAAATGGTGAATCACTAATTGGTTAGGAGGCAAGAAATGGAGATTAGGAAAAAAGTATTAGTTTTCTAAAAGGCTAAGATAGTGAAAAAAAAGGTGGAAGGATCTCTGCTCAGAGTGTAACAGTCAACATAGTTATAAGTGAATTAGAAAAGAGAGTGAGCAGCATGGTGAGAAATCCTGCTAATACTGAATTATTCACAGTAATAAAGGTGAAAGTTGGTCTTAAATGTAGAATAAAGCTGAGTGAATGGACTCAAAATGGCAGATGAATTTCATTGTAAATTACTGTAAAAATTTCGTATGGAGAAAAAGTGGCTTTGCATACAAGGTCTGCATAGTAATGTAGTTAGTGTAGTAATGGGTAATTTAATGAAAATGACAGTTCAGTCTCCATTATCAGTTGAATGAGGAAAAGTTTTTTTAAGGATTATTTGAAATGGAATAGAAAACAGAATAATAGCATTTGTTCTTTCGTAAATATGTCCTTTGCCTTTATTTAAATACCACATACCTCATACCTCAGATGGATTTGAAATTCTGGTTGAAATGGAAAGATTCAGGGAAAGGCAGAAGGCATGACTGTAAGTATGGAATATCTTCCATATAACCAGTGTTGCAGTAAGAAAGGAAACTTTATTTTGAAAAAAAGAAAAATAGTATGGTATGAGAAAGGTCTGTCAGCTCTAGAGTTGCGTAGTGAATATGGACAGGTTGGCTTTTGCAGTGCAAGAACAGATGAAACTGGCAGAAAGCAGGTTTAAAATAAATCAGAATGCAGTTTATAGTTTTTCCAGTTGAGGATAATGAGGCTTACATGTATTCAAAAATTATACGTAAGGAAATTAATGGAGTTGACATCCACTGAAATTCAGCAAGGCTGTGGAAACATTATCAAATCCAGGAGGTTCCTGATGTGCCTTGGCCTGTTCCTAACAAGCTACTCTGAAAAGTAAAGAATGCTGTGACTTATTTATTTCAGCAAAACTCAAGATACAACATTCTGGTTTTGCTTACCACTGGAATCAAAGTAGTTGTTTTCAACTTCCTTAACTTAAATGCTACTGAAAAAGTGAGGAGGTTCTGTGGACAAAATAATGCCACCCCGGAGAAAGGGCAACAAAATTGCGAAGGATCTGGAACATAAACCCTGTGAGGAGTGGATGAGGGAGCTGGAGGTGTTAACCTGGAGAAAAGGAGGCTCAGGGGAGACCTCATCACTCCCTACAACTGCCTGAAAGGATGCTGTAGCCTGGTGAGGGTCAGTCTCTTCTCCCAGGCAACCAACAGGACAAGGGGAAATGGCCTCAAGCTGTCCTAAAGGAGGTGCAGGTTGGATGTCACTGAAAGGGTGGTTAAGCACTGGAACAGGCTGTGCAGGGAAATTATGGAGTCACCATTCTTGGAATTGTTCAAAACCAAACAGACATGGCCCTTTGGGATATGGTTGAGTGGGCATGATGGTATTTGGTTAATGTTGGACTTAATGGTCTGGAGGTCTTCTCCAACCATAATGTTCCATGATTCTAAGAACTGCTGCAGATTCACCAATTTAAATTAATATTTTATCTAATCTTTATTACATTAATATCCCAAGCATTTTTTGACTTCTGTTTGCTTAGTAAATTGAAACTTACAGGATTTGATGACTGCAGAAAGAGGTTTATAGGAGTTTTACGTAAGTTCCTCTTGGTATTTCAGTGTGGCCATACTATTGTCATAACTAAACCTTGTGTTTGTCTTTTACATAAAAAAAATCTAAAAAGAACTCACAATTTTATCCATCCTTCAAATATTTTAAATTTAAAAAGTATCTTATTTTTCCTTTCTAACTCATGAAGTTGCAGTGCTTGTCAATGTACTCACTAATCAGTTCATTTATTTTAAGCAGACATCTTACTTCCAGATCTCTAGACCAAAAATAAATTCTCTTAAAAAATCAACAGCAGTATATACTTACATAAGAAGTTTTTTCAGGCTCTAGTTGTAATTATAAATTTTTAAAGTCAACAGTGTCTTGAAGAAAAGCATTGAAACTACTTAATTTACCAAGGGAAGCCAAAGGAGAATAAATCAATGCATACTTCCAAGGCAGGCACAGGTAAATGCATAGTTCCATGCTGCACTGCTATTAGGGAACTTGACATCCCTCCAGGAGCTTGGAAAGCAGATCTTGTTTACAGAAAATGAACAGACCAAATGGACAGAAGAATTTCACAGTCTGTCACATCCTTAGAAATGAAAAGAATTTGGAAATTGAGGTAATCAGATGCCATAATAAATATAGGAATGTAATTTATTCAGATTTGCAAAAAGGAATCTATTTGTGCAGGTGTTATGTACATGCAAGTCTCACTGATAGCCACAAGAACAGTTTCTGTGCAGCAGTTTGGTCTCATTATTCATGTAGCATATATTTTTGTAACCAAAATGGATACACTTCATATTTTCCTTGCACTATTTAAGGCCTAAATACAGGAAACTATATTTAAAGTTTTCCATCCTCTTCTCTGGATTTTGAAAAATGTGCAGGTTAGAGAAGACATGGGACTATTTAGTAGCTATGCAGGGAGGTGAAGGACTTAAAATATCCACTAAAAAACAGAGATATGGAAGTATGATAATAAAAATGGTTGTCTCTGTTGTCTTGGAGTTTGAGATTTATTCTTCTTGGTGCACACATGACATATGTCTTGAGGCAAAATAAACTCTCTAAAACCCTTTAGAGACATTCTTGCTGATAAAACTTTTTTTTTCCCAGCAATTCACGGTTCTGATTCTGTGTACATGTTTTGATTACTTTTGGTTGGGTTTTTTTTTTTTTCAGTTTCTAGGGCTATATAATTATATGGAGAAGTTGACAACAGAGTAATTTAAAATTGTGAATAGCTTGTTTTCTCACATTAACAATAACTTTATTTGTTCTAAAGCAGGACACCCAACATTTTGCCAGCTTCACACTCCTTGACATTCAAATGATAGAATACATCTTTCATCAAGTAGCTGTCCTCTGGCCTATTTCTGTTTAATAAGTCAGGTTCAGTGGTGCAAGGTAATTTAATCTCAATGTTTTGAAGAAATAAACTTTCTCAAGACATAAGTTACCTGCTCTAGGAGTAATTACAGTTGGCATGACATCATTTAGACAAACAAAGGTATATTTCTTTTCTCTTCAGTTTAAAGGTCAGGAGAAACCTAGCAGAGAACAATTATCAGTAAGATAACTGTATAGAAAAAATGGTAATATTTTTGATGTAGAAATGAGGAATGAAATTACTTTATATGTAGTCTAGAATCCTACCATTTAGGCAGGGACAGTGATAATTAGAGAAGTGGAAACTTCTGAAGTTTGCAAGCAAAGAATTTTGGCATCAGGTGCCTGTAATGGTCATATATATTTTGAACACATGGAAAAGAGATGTGGGAGAGTTTTGGGCACAGATGCTCCACACTGCTGAAATGCCTTTTAGTGTTAGAGTCATGCTCACATTTCTTTTTGTATTGTATTGAAGTGCAACATTTTAGGTGTTCAGGTGAAGACTGAAAAGCAAAGGGCTGTGGGCATAGTGTAGGCATGGTAGTGATGGGGACCGGAAGAATTAAAGGCTGTGCATAACCAGATATTAGGGAATTAACAGGTCTTGTGTGCATGTTCTTGTGCCTAAGATATCTTGTGATACGCACCAATATGGAAGGTCAGAAATTTAGATTTATTTAATGTATATATAGGAACAGAAAAGTTTTCAATTTTAATTTCCATAACTTTTAACTAAACCATTGATTTGGATGGTTTTGTGGTTAGCTTTATTTTTTTTCTTTTGGAGTGGAGCCTTTTTTACTTTTCTGTTGCCCTGT